ATTTTCTAGACATGTTTGATTGGCTGATCCATTTCATAGACATCTTTCACTTACCCCGATATTCAGTTTTTCTATTGACAAAACCAGCCAGTGCTGAATTTCTTCACGCTCTTTTTGAGCCGGGTCCAATTTCTGAGCTGCTCCCAAACCCTCTTTTGAGTAAGCCTTTGTTTTTGTTTCTCTTTCAACCACTTTGAACCTCTCCATTTGCTGTGAGCAAGGTAATCAAAATTAATTTCTTTTAAACAGAAAGGCACACTTTTGGCAAAGATAACTCGTAAAGAGCCAATATTTTTTCAAAATCTCATTGCGGTTTTGTTTAAAATTATACAAAAAAAAATTTATACACTGACCCGTTACTTGGTGAAAATCAATAACAGTAGCTCAAAAAAAAGATTTACCTTATGTAGGAAGGAAATAAAAATATAAAAACAAAAACAATTTCAAGGGAGAGGAGATTAACATCAATAAAGCTTGGCTACCGCACTAAATTACCCTTGTGAAAGGAGGTCATTAAATTCAACAAATTGAAATGACACCAATGGAATGTTAATTATGTGTCAATATGTAAAATACATTTAAAGTAATATACAAATAAAAATTTCAAAAAACTCAAACAAGCCAAAAGTACAGAACTCTATAAATAAATGATGGTCAAGTCATCTAACAAAAGATAATAAAATCCCATTCGGTAACAATCCCTATCAGCCTAAAAAATGTCAAGGAAAGTAGATGGGTGCACCAGGTTTTTAAAAAAGATTCGTGAACAGTAAACAATTTTTTTTCAAACACAAACTTCAAAAAAAAACTTGATCATGAAAAGAAGGATTAATGACCAACATATGTCAAGAATAATAAAAAATCTTCAAATTCAACTCAAATCCCTCTGTCCAATGTTACCCTGGAAAGAGTAGTACTCACAGTCTCTATGAGTTTCCTATTATCCATAAGTATGCTTTTGTCCTTGATCTCAGCGGATGCAATCCAACTCTTTATTTGGTCTCGCAACCTCTGCAGTTTCTTAATTTCTTTCTTGAGATCGGCTTCATACTTCTCTTTCTGGTTATTATTCGCAGCATTGTGAACCTTTTGCCATATGTCATCGAAGGTTTCAACACCTTCCATCACTTTTTTTAAACATCTATCGATTTCACCTAGAACAGACAGTACCTTAAGTAAAATGTTTACTTTCAAGAGCTTCAGATGAATGTGATGTTTTTCCACTTTGGTGTGAGAAATTTCACCAAACATGAATAGGCAATCTCACAGAAATCATCTTTGGTGCTGATAAGATATGCGTAGTTCAACAAGGGGTACGTTTTTGGCAAAGTGTTTTTGGTCTCTGAATTTCACTTACCTTGTAAT